GGCTCCACCCTCTGGGACATCTTCCTTGGCCACTTGAAGTTTGTATTGCATCTCAAATAATTACAGTCTTTTTTAGTCCAGGTTCGTGAGCGTATAGGGCAGTGGTAATTTCTCAACTTAGTAGACTTCTTACCTATTTGGTTCCAGAAAATTCCCTGTGCCAGGAACCATATCCATGGTCCATAAGACACATTTATTTGCTTACTTGCTTCCTTCCTCTCTGGATTTAAGAGAGCTTCTCCAGGAAAGTTATACCCTTGATCTGCATTTTTTTCCAAGTCAATATAACAGTTAAGAAGTTTCAACAGTGTGTTGCCTATAGTCAGTCTTAAGGCTGAGTGTTAATCTGCCTTTGTGTTCAGAGGCTTTCTAATTTTAGACCTTGCTGTTTGAGGCTTTATCTTAGTCTGTTCAGGCTGCTATATCAAAATACCTCAGACTGGTAGTTTATAAACAACAGAAACATTGTCACAGTTCTGGAGTCTAGCAAGTCCAACATCAAGGTACTGGCAGATTCTGTATCTGGTGAGGACTCACTTCCTAGTTCATGGATGACCATCTTTTCACTGTAACCTCACATGATGGAAGCGATGAAGGGTTTCTCAGGTTTTTGTTTTTTTTTTTTGAGAGGGAATTTCACTCTTGTTGCCCAGGCTGGATAGAGTACAATGGCCCAGTCTCGGCTCACTGCAACCTCCGCCTCCTGGGTTCAAGCAATTCTCCTGCCTCAGCCTCCCGAGTAACTGGGATTACAGGTACCCGCCACCACGCCCAGCTAATTTTTGTATTTTTAGGAGAGATGAAGTTTTACCATGTGTTGGTTAGGCTGATCCTGAACTCCTGCCTCCACCCACCTCAGCCTCCCAAAGTGCTGAGATTACAGGCATGAGCCGCTGTCCCTGGCCTCAGGCTTCTTTAATAAGGACACTAATCGCATTCCAAAGGCCCTGCCTTCTAATATCATCACACTGGAGGACTAGAATTTCAGCGTATGAATTTTGGGGGAACACATTCAGACCATAGTAGGTTTAAAAGTATTTCTAACTTTGCAAGGTTCTAAATTTCTGGAATCTCTCTATTATCTCCCATTTTTATTTGCAACCTGGCCAATTCTTTCCGGAGCTCATCTCTTCACAAAACAAAATGTAGTGTTCCAGACACAGGCAACAGCAGCCAACATAACACCACTGATGTTTGGTTTTCAGACCTCATCTTCTAGAGCTACAGATTTATTAATTTTATGATCTACCTCCCAAGTCATCTCAAGCAACAGTTTTACTGAATATCTTACCACTTCAAAATATATATGCCCATTTTTATAGCTTTCAATATCGATTTCTACTGTCTGACCATTAAGCCAGGGTCTCATATTGTAGGATTTTGTTAGAACACTACTTCTATCACCAATATCTATATTAGTAATATAAGCTCAGTTATGCTGCCTATCATAAGCCTAGAACTTACTTCTTGTTCATGCTAAATGCCTAGTGTGTGTCTTCAGGGGGTTTTGTTCTACATGGTCACTCAGGGACCCAGGTTGATGGAAAGTCCATCATCTCGTATTTACCCCCTTGTAACTAACCACCCCAAAACCTACTGGCTTAAAAGAAGAGTGATTAACAACTTCTTATGATTCTGAGGAAGTGGCCAAGTGACTTTTCTGCAGGATGAGCCTGGGATTAGTCATGCATTTGCATTCACCTGGAGAGTTGGCCAAGGTATGGGTTCAGCTGGGAAGTCTGGGTGTTGCTCTCACCATGTTGTCTGTCCTCCTTACGGAGGCTAGCCCAGGGTGGCAAGTGGGAAAACCCCAATAAGCAAGCTGTATCAAGATTCTTACTTGCTGATGTCATGTTAGCTGAAGAAAGTCACATAGCCACGCCCAATGTCAGTATGGGAAGGTACTACACAAGGGCATGGATACTGGGATATACAAATTCATTGTGCAACAGTCTTCCACAGCTATCTAGAGCAGGAGTCAACAAATATTTTTTTAAGGTCTGGATTGTAAATATTTTAGGTTTTGCAGGCCTTATGTTTTCCCAGCTTCTCATTAGGATGGAGAGATATGTAAGTAAATGAGCATGTTCCAATAAAGCCTTATTCACAATAGCAGGCAGTGGACCAGATTTGGCCCACCACTGAGCTGTGAAACATAAAGCCTTTATTTATTCTCTAGAAGGAATACATGTCAATTCTGCCTTTAGTCCATTGGCCAAAACTAGTCACAAGACCATATCTAACTGCAGGGGTGATGGGGAGTATAATCCTGCTCTATTCCCAGAAGGAGAGAAGAGCTAGACATGGGTGGACATTGGAAGTCAATACAGCAGAAGCCACATTGAGAAGATGTATGTTCAGATCATCAGCCTTATCTTTATTGAGTACCCGGCACTGGTTGTAAGAACTGAAGAAAACAGACACAAAACCAGTGCCCTCATGGAGCTTACACAGAGTCCCTGATGGTGAATACACTGAGAGGGAGAAGCATTTTATACACCTCTGCTCTGGAATTGTTAGTTGTCGTCTCATTGTTTGTGTACTTGGCTTTTTCACCAATTGGGCTGTGAGCAACGCACGGGTAGGACTGCATCTTCTCTGTGCCTGATGCAGTGACTAATTCTTTGTAGGCACTCTTTAAGTGCTTGTCAAGTAATTGATTGTTCAAACCATTAGACCAAGATAAGGATTTACTTTGGATTGTGGGGAACCTGGATATAGATGCCTAATTCCTGTATCACTCAGGTGCCTAACTCTCAAACCCCTAGAGCTGCCATTATACAAAAGGCTACAAGGTGTAAGTTGTTTCTCTAAATGTGAAAAGACAAGGATAGACTAAAGTCTGTGTCTCTTCCACTCATAGCAGTGAGTGAAAGGGACAACAAGCAAAAATTTCCCTCGAGAGTCTAGGTTTTTGGCCAGAAGTAACGTGAAAGTTCAGGTTAATTTGCTTGCCTTCAGAAGGCCCTTGGGGTGTTTAACAGAAACCATCACTCTAGAAAGTATAAGTATCCTCATTTCATAATACCTGAAGATCACTTCGAGACAGAGCAGAACAGTAAATATTTCTCTATTCGCATCCCCTCCCTCTCTCCTCTAAGGGGTCCTGAAGTTGTGTGCAGTGACTTAGGAAAAGTAATATGAGATGGGAGCATGGGACTTAAAAAGGTTTCTACTGAGTGGATAATTTCATATCATTCAACCTAGTAAAGAAAAGCAATTGATTTACCTTATGTATCATACCAAGGGATGGGGTTTATAAATAGGAATATTTCTTAAAGAATATCTCTTTTGTTTTAGATTCATGAGCCGAGCCATTTTTAAGCCATTAATTATGTTTTAGTCTCAAATTTTATTGTAAGTTTAATTTTTACCCTGGAACAAATAGGGCAAATTCAGAATACAAGTCTTTTGAAAAAGATATTTTTGCAAAACAGTCCATTTGGGAAATGTGTTCATAGAGAATACAGATAGAAAAAATGGACTCTATTTCTGCTGTCAAGAGGTTTACAATCTAATAATGGGGTCAGGCACATAAACAAGTAACTGTAGTACAGACAATGATATTTTTGGTCAAATAGAAATATGGTTAGAATTGTTTTAGAATGTAGAAGTAGGTGTCAGTCCAGAAGGGAATCGAAAAATTAAAGATAGCTTTATGGAGTAAGCTATCCTTTAAGCTGTATGCACAAAGACATACAGGCTTTTGAAAGGTCTTGTATGGGGAAAAGTATATTCTAGGCATAGTGAGTAGTGAGTGGCAGATAAGGGGCTCAGCTGAAGCAGAGGCTGTAGAATGAAAAGGAAGACAGCAGTGGAAGAACCAGGCAGAGCTGGAGGGGCTGGGCTGCAGCAAGGAGCAGAGGCAGAAGGCAGAGATGACATCCAGGTAACCTACATGCTGAAGATGGTCAGAAATTCTGAATTTCTGAAGTCCATGAGAAAGCCATTGCATGAGAAAGAAGGCCAGCGACCTTGAAGTTGCTTCCAAATGTGACTCTGTGGCTTTCTCCTGTGGTTCTTTGTACACTCTGGTGCTTCTTCATGTGATCAAAATTAGAATATATTCATTGTTGGTCAAGCAAGAGCCTACCTTTGTTCCATCATCCAGGAATTTTCAGTCTGTCTGCTTTTATTTGCTGCCCTAATAATAACAAAGGGCCCAGACTTGGACTGAATTGATACTGCAAATCATCAGAACCAGCCTTCCCAAGCATAAGGAGGATTTTGCCCCTACCCTCAGGTAATCCTGGCTGTGAACATGATGTTCTTGGAGTTGTTTTTTAAATAGCCTTGTTCTGTTTTCAAATATTTACCCATTTAAGCAACTCGCTATTTAATACTGAAGGGGTATTTGTTCTGCTGTCTGGCACCTGGATCCTGAGGTAGAGCTTTTTTCTAGGTCTTAGTCCATCTTTTCATGTTAGAAAAATTAATTTTTTACTCTGAACAAATTCACTTATATCTACCATTCTTGTTACAAGTTATGCAAAAGACCCTGGAGGGATTGTGATATGTTTTTAGGTGAGTTTTGAGGTATGTTTTTGTGTCCCTAGTCCAGAAGGACATCCCCATAGTAGTAAGTTCACACCCAAGAGCCTGAAAGTTGTTTGCACATTGCACTTCAAGTCCCGAGTTTTAGGGTTTTTTTCCACAACGATTCATATGCACACATATAGCGGGCCCCATGTCTGGACTCCAGCCCACACAGAGTTATTTGCCAATTCCAAAGAAGCAGAGAATGAAGATACTCATGCCCCATCATCCATCATTTTTTTCTATGAACCTTACAGCTGAATATTGAAAAATCTGGTTTTGATCTTTTGGGTATTTTTTTTTTTCATTTCAAGTCAACTGAATAGCCCATACACATGGATATAAAGAAATATAACCAGGAGTTGTTTGTGGTATTGAATCAGAACTGGAGACATCTGAAGTCAAGCCACTTCAGTAGTGTTTCTTATTTCTTTTTAATCAGATTTTGAATATTCTTTCTGCAGGTTGTGTTCCTGACTGGCTTTGGCTATGTGTATGTGGACACTGTACATCAGTGTGGCACAGTCTTCATCACTGTGGCCCCAGAAGGAAAAGCAGGACCTATTTTAACCAACAGCAATAGGTAGGTTTAATTATTTTCCCTGTAACAACATAGTAAGTGTTCCTGTTATAAAGTTGTAAACTTACTATTTATCTTTGTCATCTCTACATATGTATTAAAGCTTTTTGTTAATTATCGCATAATCCATAAAAAATATGGTTATTAGCAATAAATCATACCTTCAATAGGTAGCAATAAACCATCTTTCCTAGATACCACTTCCACTCCTTCTGTGTTAGGTTTAACAAACTGATTTACAAACTATGCATCTTGGAATCATACCACTATTATTAGCATGAAATGCACATTAATACCTCTGTATCTGCATGACAGTGTAGTAATTACTAATAAAACTTAGAGCTACATCAAATATAAATACGCCTCTTAGAGTCATATTTTCCACCCCCACTTTGACCTGAATGTTGCCATCAGGTTTTAAAAACTTGAAATAGACAAAGAGTTAATATTCTTAATTTAAAAGAATTCACATAATTCAATAGGAATAAAGATAG